TCAATATAAAAGCCTAAAAAGAAGGTAGAAAAGGTAAAATAAATATAATACATAAAAGCTACTACATTAATTCCATTGCTTACTCAGATTTTTGTTATATTCTGCTGTGATATCATCATCACTTGCCACAACACTTTTAGAAAGATACATTAGAAGTTTTTGAAATTCTTCATTACTATCAATGTAAAGATCTAAAAGTATTTAGAACAAAGGAAAAAAAGTAAAATAAATATGAATTACAAAAGCCACTACATTAATTTCACTGCTTACTTGTTGTAATTGAATTTTTATTATATTCTATTGTAGTATTATTATATCTTTCCACGTTACTTTTAGAAATGAATGTTTGAAATTCTTCATTACTATCAATATAAAAGCCTAAAAAGAATTTAGAACAAGGTAAAAAATATAGTAAAATAATTTGAAAGCATGAAAGACACTTGCTTACTTGTAATCAGATTTTTGTTACATTCTACTGTGGTATTATCATAACTTTTCACATCACTTTTAGAAAAAGACATTTGTAATCCTTTCTTACTATCAAAATAAAAGCATAAAAAGAGTTTAGAACAAGGTAAAAAGGTAAAATTAATATAAAACGCAAAAGCCACTACATTAATTCCACTATTTGCTAGTTATAATCAGATTTTCATTACGTTTTACTGTGGCATTATCATAACTTTCCACAACATTTTCAGACAGGTGCATTTGAAATTCTTTATAACTATTATCAACACAAAAGCCTAAATGAACAGGATAGAAAAAGTAAAATAAATATAAAGTGCGAAAGTCACAAATTAATTCTACTACTTACTTGTCATATCGGATTTATTAAAGAAAAGAAAAAAATACAAGCCCCAAGAAAATAGCCAAAGTATATTATAGGAAAAGTTAATACATTGCAGAAAAAATCGAAAGATTAAGAGTAGCGAACTTAAGTATAAAAGCCACCTCAATTAATTATTTGATTGCATGTCAACAAAGTGTGGAGTTTAAATCGTCACGATACTATTATTACATATTCACGTGAACAAGTATGGTATAGCAAGATAACTGGGGTGACCTTCAAAAACCAGAGCTATATGATTTGTGGCACATATAATTATGTGTATTTTTTTATATATTTTCCCTTTTGCAAGAACAGTAAATAGTATATAACAATTAGAAATAGCTAGGGTGACTTCCTGACTGGACTATGTAATTTGCAGTATGTATAATTATGTATGCTTGCAAATGATATATACAGTTGTTGTGCGAACACGGATTTTAAAAGTTGTTCCATCCATTTTTAACAATTAGATGTTGTGGTTATGGTTCGAATTTGGGCTTTGGAGGTTGTCTGGCTATCTAGTATTCTTTGCAAAGCATATCCACAGTGACTGCAATTCGTGTAATCCTAAATGAAACTATTTACTATTTTTGCTCTAAATTTATGTTACACATTTATTGCATAAATATTTATTTATTAATGTTAATTATAAATATATTTATTTATTAATAATAAATTAAAATAGTGATAATCACTGCCGATTATTTCTAGTATTATTCAAAAAAAAAATTATAAAATTTTATACAGTACTTTTTAAAATAATTAAGATTATATAATTTATATAATATTATACAAATATCATATAGGCCAATTTTTAGAATTTATAATTAGAGTCTAGTTTTTTTAAAACTTTAAGATCAAATAACTTTTAATTTATATGTATTTTAAAAATAATTTTGTTATTATTGTGTTTACTTCTTAAAAACAATTCTAACAAGCTTAAAATCACTCAAATCCAATTACAGGATTACAAGATAATACACTGTCAAATAAGTGACTCACTCTATATATTGGACAATTGGTTAGATATAGATCTAACCAATTGTCTAATATATAAAATAAGTTACTTATTTGATAGTATATTATCTTGTGATTCTGTAATTGGATTTAAGTGATTTTGAATTGTCTTTAAGAAGTAAACACAATAGTAACAAAATTATTTTTAAAATACATATAAATTAAAAGTTATTTGATCTTAAAGTTTTAAAAAACCATGCAAGGGCAGGAGTACGTAAGTGGGAACTAATTAGGAAGGTTGTGGCTTGAGATACGAACCGGGTTACGACAGTATTCGAAACGATAGCTTGAGATACGGACCCGGTAGCGGCAGCACAACATGTACTAGTTGGGGAAAAGTTACCGAACATGC